ACACACACACAGAGAGAGAGAGAGAGAGAGAGAGAGAGAGAGAGAGAGAGAGAGAGAGAGAGAGAGAGAGGAACTCCTAATGCTCTATTGATCTCTCTGCGAGTGCATGCAATCGGCCCCAAGCTGATTCCTACGCAGTCAGTTGTGGAAAGGTTTAATCATAACCGAGGTAACACTCGTGCGAAACGGAGAAGAAGATGTGAAGATCAAGAGAGAGGAGACGACGACGATGGCGTAGAAGACACCCCGACCACATCACCTCGGGCAAAGCAGCACAGGAATCATAGCATAGAAGAGACTCAGTCCGTGTAAGTGGTGTCGATCTATTCCGAATGAGCATACGAGCAAGACGAGGCCGAACATCATCAGCAGCAGCTGGATGGCAGGAAGACGGGGCCCTTCTTCTCATGACCACGACTTTCTGCTAATTTAAACCGTCAGCTCTCCGGTCTTGCTTGAAAATGATTATCGCGATGGAGGGACTGAAACGGATGAGCGGAAAGAAAGCCAACGAGGAGCAAATAAATTTAATAGCCTCTTCTTCTTCTCTTGGAATCTCTTGCAGCAACGATCTCATCTTAGGTGACTCACCTTTCGCCTGCACACTGCAGCCAAGAGCAGCTGGTAAGTGCAACGCACCTGGTCATGTAAGGGACGATTAATCCCAACGAGCGGCACTGGAGGGATATCAAAACGAGCGGAACTCGAGAGTCGAAACACAAGAAGCAAGAGACAAATCGGGACGGAGAAGACGATGGCGTCGAAGAACAGAGGATGGTCTACCTCTTCTTCTTCTTCTTCTTCTTCTTCTTCAGATTATCGGCATCCTATGGTCCGTAACGAAGGTGTATTTCGGGACATCCGTTAAAATTGGAACGATACAGAGAAGGGTACATTAGCAAATGGCCCCTGCGCTTTCAAGGATGACACGCATAAATCGAGAAATGGTTCTTAACGAAGGTCGCTGTGAAGCATCGAGGTGCAGAATATCCAGCTGCGTGCCCAACTGACATGGTGTACTATTCTTTCGCCTTTCACTATAAAAAAAAAAAAAAAAAAAAGAGGATACCGTGGGCTGAGCACACTGAGCAGCTTACATCAGTTTCTAACGGCCCTTCGCTCCGTCGAAGTGCTAATAACGAGAAAAAAAAATAAAAAAAATCGAGGTGCAGAAAGGGAAGTAAGGGACGCCCAGGATGTGTCGAAGTCAGGACGGAGAGGAAAGCACAGAAGCGGAAAAGCGGAAAAGCGGAGTAGGTAGGGGACAACTATCCCTCTTCACCTGGGCCGAGGTCCCACGAGCAACGGGGATCGGATCGAATGCCTGAATCTGGATGTGTTTTACGCAGATATGCAGAAGAGCAGTTCAATCTCGATTTCCTGCACCTCTCGACAAACACGTCCAGATTCGGGCATTCAATCCCATCCTCTTTGCTGGTAGGACCACGCCCCCGAATAGAACGGCCGGTCATTATCGGCCCTATCTGGAGTGAAAGTTGGAAGTTGCCCCAAATACAGCTAAATGACCGGCGGGGCGTTCTATTCGGTTGAACTCCACCCACCAGGCATGAGCGTGCCCTCAGGCCGAAAAAAAAAAAAAAAAAAGGGTGCGAGCGTGCCCTCAGGCAGTCTGGAGTTGTGCTGCTTCGTGTCAATTTCGTGAACTCCACCCACCAGCAGGCGACAACCCCGCACTTTCCATTTTATTTTATTTTATTTTATTTTTCTCAAGAAAGGGAAAAGACACAAAACAAAAAAAGACAAGGGGAAACTACTAGGGAGTCACAAAAATGAGTTATAATTGCACTATGGGCCACCATACAGTTGCCCATTGCAGTTCGGGCAATTTATACAACCCAGCTTTCTGGCCAGGGGTAGCTAAGGGTGCTTGAAGTGCAGTTGCAAACTGTATCTTGCCCCAGAGTGCAATTATAAAACTCGTTTTCGTGACTCTAGAAAGAAAGAACGGGAAAAACTCAGCTGCAAAAATTAAAAATAAAAACTAAAAAACAGTCAGTTGCCATATCTTTCATCATCTTTCAAAAAAATTCTTTCAAATTATTTCAAATTATTTCAATTCACCTTCACTACCTTCCTACCTACCTACCTACCTACCTACCTACCTACCTACCACTACAAGGCTTATACAGGAGCGTGGTCCCACTCGCAAAGAGGATCGGATCGAATGCCTGAATCTGGACGGACGTGTATGTCGAGAGGTGCAGGAAATCGAGATTGAACTGCTTTTCTGCATCTCTGCATAAAACACGTCCACACATTCAGCCATTCGATCCGATCCTCTTTGCTAATGGGACCTCGGCCCAGGGCACCCCTGCGAACATTGCTTTGTTGTCTCCCTCCAGCCATCCGAAGGGACTGGAAAAAAAAAAGAAAAAAAGAAAAAAAAAAAAAGAAAAGTCACTTGCCATATCGGCCCACTACCTCCGTGTTAGGGTCAGATCCCACTAGCCCCTATTGTTCATTTCGGACCGTTGATCTTCGTAATCGAGGGTGAGATATGAATAATCCAGGGTAGTGGGATCTGACCCTTAGTTACCTACGATGTGGGACGAGAGATGACGCACTTCAAGTTTGTACTGGGGCGATGTCCCACTAGCCAAGAGGATTGGATTGAACACGAGAATCTGGACTTGTTTGTGGAAAGGTGCAGAATGTCGAGATTGAACTGCTTTTCCGCATCTCTGCTTAAAACACGTCCAGATTCAGGATATTTATCCATCCCACCCTCTTTGCTAGTTGGACCTCACCCCTGGCCCCTGGGCGTAGTAAGGCCGATCGGAGGGCCCAATACCCTCGCCGCACTACTCACCAAGCCCACGAACGAAAAGAATTACGGCTCTGCATCTTTCCATGTCCTCGGGAAAGATTCGTTCTCATTTTGCACATTTGGTGAGTGGTGCGACGGGGGCCAGGATCCGTTTATCAACGGTTCTGTTATCTGTCGCCCTTCCCGAAAAAGAAGAAAGAATTTGCCAGAAAATTGTTTTCTTCTTTTCATCTTTCACGACCCACCCACCACTAGCTCCTAAGGGGTGGTTTCATCTGTCGTCCTCATGAATTTTTTTTATTTTTTTTTTTCCAGATAGATCAGAGCTTTCAAATATTTGCGCATTCGTGTGCGGCCTTCCACGTTCCGCGAAACAGCTCGGAAGGCCAAAAAAAAAAAAAAAAAAAAGAAACAGCTCGGAAGGCACGCCGGACTGCCACCCGGGGCCAAGTCCCACTTACCTGAATGACCGATTTCTGACCACAGATTTGGAAGATCAACGACCAGAATCAAGGATCAGCGTAAGTGGGACCTGGTCCCAGCTAGGTCGGACTTTTCGTCTTTTCTTGAGCTGACCAATTCCCCACGAGACCCCACCACCCAGTGGCACCCAGCTTTCGTCAGTGTTTCCTTTTCTTTTTTTTTTCCATCGTCAGTGTTTTTTTTTTTTTTTTTTTTTTACCATCGTTAGTGTTTCCTGGTGCACCCACCATACTTACGGTAAGTAGAAGTCCGAAAGAAACGTAAAATCCCGGTCCGCAGGTTTCGCAGTCGGCAAGTAAAATCGTACTCCACCGTCCCGACATTGAAGGAAATCTTAATCTTACGTGAGTGGCGGCGGCCTTTTGCACAGGCCACACGAAATATGAGACCACGGACCAACCAGGATACAGGGAAAGGGGAAAAAAAAAAAAAACACAACAGCTTTTTTTTTTTTTTTTCCCTTAAAACCGGGCCCAGTGCCCAAGGCTCATATTATCAGAAAAACAGCTTGAGGCCGGGGTCCTCACAGTCTACCCGGATTGGCTGGGAGCATTACCCAGTTTCGCTTACGGGATTACTCCCGAGGGGACCAACCCCCTGAGTCCTTCACATCACAATCAAMTTAAAACATATTAGACTACTAGACCCACCGGTTGTCCAGAGTCTATCCAGACTGCCCCTAAAGCGGGGCAGTGGAGCAACTGCTCCATAGACCCACGATGACGCTCCCTCCACAACAGCTCAACTGCTCCATAGACCCACGATGACGCTCCCTCCACAACAGCTTTT